TTAAGGCGAAAATCCGACGCAAAACATGCGCATGCAAAAAACACTTTGATGGAACGAGATTCATTAACAATGGAAACGCTGAAGTTGATAGTTTTTGAAACACTCGGTCAGGATTTGGAACAAGAGGCGCTTGGCATCAAGTTTACTGAACATTCGTTACAGTCAATAACTTTTTGCCTTGTAGATTTGACATGGGTTTTGAACCATTGACTGTAAGGCTTCTCCATCTCAATCATCTCCATTAATTGTATGACTTGATTCATTTCGGTACCTCGATGGGTCATTTTAACAAACATGTTTTGAACTTCGAGCAGTAGGCTATGCCATACAGGGTGATTCAAAATTGGCGTCATATAGGGGCCCACTTAGAGAGTACGAAAAATTCTTTTTGTCCGAAAATTTCAAGGAGATATTAACAGTTGAAGATCGAATTTCAACTTTGTTATTAAGCATTACCTTGAAGAGGTCCCATATTTGATTGGAAGCCTAATGAAATACTTAAGCATTCAAAAATTTTTGATATTAAAAAAGTACTCTTCTACAATTTTTTGATGAAAAGTCAAAGCGTCAATGATGTTTTTTGCCATTAACAGTCAGTTACAGGTAGACAGCCTTTGTCAATAATAACAAGCATTTGTCAAACTGTCAATAATATTGACCAATGACACATAACCTTTACCTGGTGGTTTTGGATGACCGTTGTGGCCTATTTAGACGTGCATTTGCCTCACTTATTTGCTCCAAAAAGATGGCAGCACTCGGGGGGCTGTTTTGTCGCAGCACTGACCGCAAGGTGACACCGTTATCCTAACCTCAACGCATGTTTTTGTCTCGTTTAATTTCGTTGCTTCATGTTTATCCTTGGTTACCGGAGTTTTTAATAATTACAACGGAACAGGTACTTACGTAATGTCAATTAGGCAGATTACCTTGAAAAACATTGTTGCCATCCTTCTGATCTAGTTTTTGGCAAATATCTGAGTTTTTAATAAGATTAAATTTTTTAAAATATTTTTTGTGTACTCCCAAGACACCCTCAGACAACACCTCCAAAGGAATGACGCCAATTTTGAATCACCCTGTATACAAAGCCTTTGACAGTATTTGACAGCGACCACTATGGAAAGAAGTTTCATCAACGCGTTTTCTAAACCGAAACTCTCCGATTTGTTGGGAAAAAATTGGCTTTTTTGGTGGACAAAAACGTCTGCTTTGACTGGTGAATAATCCAGCTATCCAGAGCTAATCCCCCACTCAGCAACCCGCAAAAACCATCTCGACACATTAAATCACTGTCAAGCGAAAAGGAGGGGGGTGAGCTGTCGTTAGCGCCGAGCAATATAAAGTCGTTATCAGATTATTTCGACCCCTAGTGTGGAAGTTGCGAACTACTAAATGCACTGGGATCGCAGTCTATTAATCAGGGCCCCAAGACCAACCCCCCAAACTTGTGGGGGCGATGCTCCGATGTTTCGCGATAACGGCATAATGATTACGTATTATTCTGTAGTCGCGGTGCGTATAACCAGTTCTGACAACGGTATCTCGAAACTTTTCAATTAAATTTAATTGGATACTTCGTGTCACCACTACTGGCTTAAAGTCGGGGGGATGTTGATCTAGACTACAAGCCCTGAAACAATTCGTCTGATTCTCTAAAATCAATTGCTTTGCACGCAACCATCGTTGGAAGCTGTTTTTTTTGTTGCCTTTGCAAAGTTCTTAACGGCAGCATTCTCCTAAAATTCTCCTCTTTTTCTGTCATCATTTTCGTTAAGTTTGTTTTTTTCTTCGTGTCCTCGCACTATTTCTACTCTGAACCTTTTGCTGTATAGCGCTCCAAGTGAGTTAAGCTTCATGCTTACTCATCTCATTCTTTTAAGGCTTCCAAGTGTTTTTAACATTTTCTTCAGTTGTCAACCGCGGTTGTGCTGCCGCTCTTCAACATATTTATTCATTTCTTCTCTCACACCTCGGCTGTTTTCACATTCTTAATGGACGTGCTTTCGCCATTTGGCTCTTGTTCTTTTGCGTTCATTTACTGAACATTTGGGGGTCCTGAGAAGGATCCATATTTACCTCTCTTTCATATTTATTAGAAAGCGACGGTTTTCAAAGAAAATATTAAAATTACTTGAACAAAAACATCAATATTCGAGCAATAAACGATTGAAAGGAAAGAGGGATTTCAAGGTTTGCAAAAATTGAAATTTTCGAATAACCACAGCCCAAAGGTGTTTTTCGCGAATAAACTCAGTTTTTCTTGAATTTACAAATGTTGAATAAGTGCAGGTCGATGTTTTCGACAAAATTAAATGTCTCCAAACGCCCCCAACACCGTAAATTTGCATCATTGTTGCTCCATAGGTCTACAGCAGTAAAAAAAACTTTTTCGCCGAGAATTTCATAAGAGTGGAGCCCGATGTTTACGAAAAAAATTAAATTTATTTCCTATTTTCTCTATCATTGTTGTTGATTCGTCATATGTTAAGGCTACTTTGACTTGTTGCTATTTACAAGATTTAAAACATAATATATAGAGAACGGCTGAAACAATCAAGGCGATAAACATGGTGCTCCTCAGCTAATGTGCCAAAATTCACTGACAAATTGTTTAGGGAAAAATATTGCGTTTCAGGCAAATTTGTCTTATCTGAAAGTTAACAGTTTTCAAGATACAGCGTGTCAACGCATAAACAAATTTTCGGTTTATTTTTAATAGAATCTTAACCAGTTTTACTATGCCCATAAAAAATTGTTTTTGAAAGTTTTTTAGAACGAATAATTCATACTTCCTAATACCTGGCTTCTAGATAATAGAGGGCGCCAGCCGCAATAACCTGAACACACTCAAAATATAGGAAATAAAAAAATTGTGAAAGTGAGCAGCACAAAAGTTGTTTAATTTTACGCAATTTTTAAAAATCTGAATTGAAAATAAAAATATCAAACACCGGAAATGTCAAAATTTGACTATTGCCGCTAGCGCCCTCTAGGATGTACAAGCCAAGTAATAGGAAATTTAGATTTGTCGACCCAAAAAACTGCCAAAAACAAACCTTTATGGTCATAGTAAAACTGGGTAAGAATCTATTAAAAATAAACGAACGTTTCATTCACACTTTGACACCCTGTATCTCGGAAAATTTTAACTTTCAGATAAGTCAAATTTGCCTAAAGCGCAATTTTGTTACATTAGTGGTGGATTACCACCTTGTAAATATTTCTTAAATCAGGAACAGAAATCCCATCGATCCGTCTAAAAATATATGGGGTGTTCCATTAAAAAAATTGGCTTTATGTCAAATTTTGACATTTAAGGAAAAACGTGTAACAAAAACCGTGTTTTGACCACATAAACAGCTTCAAACACTGAAACCCAAACATATGACTCTTGTGATTTTCCCGACTAATTGTAGCCAACTGCGCCACATTCTCTCGGGAAAAATCGCTAATTTTTGCCCCGCTCGTTTGCTTGAAATGGGGAAAAACAAAAGCAGGAAAAGATCGCAGCCCGCTGCGAACGCAATCGTCACATATCATTGCGACCGACAGTTCGACATGGAATCGCGATAAATCATGTGATGTATCCAATGGAAATCCATTTTCTCACCAACAAAGAACTGACAGGGTTGGAGCAGCGGCGTGACGCGCTCGGCAGTTTATCAATTAGTGGCACCCGCTAACCGGCAGGGCGTGTCGCTAGGGCGCAGTGCCGGAGACACCACTTTTTAACCCCATCGACGAATCCCCCAAGTTTTCGACAGTTTCACTCGAACTTGGTGACGGCAGGTCTGCTTGATCGGTGTTTCGACCACCTTCAACCGCAAAAAGCTCGGAGAAAGCTAAAAGAAAGGCAACAGCGAAGGGAAGCAGAGCAAACAAGGCGCCGCCACTGGGGTCGTTTGTTTTTCAACAGCAGTAACATGGTTCGGGATCATCCCCCGATTTGATCTTCGACCCACCCTGCTGATCCCCAATATTTATAGCCGATTCGATTGCTTTTATATTCATAGCAGGAGAACTGGCGTTTTTTCGCAAAACTGTCTTAAGGCGGGCTTAAGTCACACAGGGAATTTTCAAGAATATTCCTGTAGTCCATTTGGGAGACAGGTGGACACATCTTCACCAACGAAAAAGATGAAAAAAAAACACACCTGTATCTCTTCTTGTTCAATATTACACATCTAAAGATTCAAATATTCACCCCGGCCCGCATGGGGGCCAGAAATCATTAATCCGCCCCCGAGCGCCGTTTAATCCGAAAGTCTCAATTAAGAATTACAATAACAATCGGCGAACGAACAACTTCTGGATGACATGACATCTAAATCGGTAGACGTTCTCGTCTACAAAGCATATGTTTCGGGCCATTTAACGAATTAGGGCATGATCCGTACACCATTAGCTGATCCCGTGGCTTTTCTGGGGGGAGACGAACAACGAACTTCCAGGTCTAGAACTGCCGAATTTTCGACAAAAACCATCAGAAACTTCTTGGCCACTTTGCCATCCTGATCTAAACCCCGTGGAGTTTGCAAACGAAGACACTGCTGCGTTACTCAGCGATCGATTTGGCTGACACAAAACAAAGGATGTATGGAGTGAAAAAAAATTCAAACCAGTTGAACTCGTTGGTCGTTTATAGGGTGGACCGACGTTCCCACGGGTGCGACGCCGGTGCGTGCCAACAACCACTAACCAAACAAAAACAGGCGAGCATCGCGCAATTTAACTGCATTGTTCGCTAATAGCAAAGTGAGCAATAATTTTCGGGCGAAGGCAAACTTGACTTTAGGGCCGGAAGTCCATAAGGAAGAGCCGCATGAATAATGCGCCCAGCAGGCTGCGACTCCATTTATTCGTTTGTTTTCCATCAAAATACACTAGAACGAAACAAGTTTGCAGATCTAAGCCCGATAATTTTTCAAAAATAAATCAATTGTCTGCTTTTCAGGCTTGGCTCTGGATAAATCCCTGCATTCGCAAGTGAGCACACCCAAATCGTACAACACGCTCTCGGAAACGCTAAGTAGGACCAAATGTGGTAAGTTCCAAACGAATGTATTGAGTTATAGGCAGAATATTTCGAGATTTTCCGAAAAAATCCGAGTTAGCATAGAAACCTGTACTAACTACCCTATTGACTGCAAGGGCAGAAATCTAGAATTGGAAAATCGATTCTTCTCATAATTGCATAGTGTATGACACACACGCGACGTTCAATACGGTGACTCGTCGATATGTGAGAAAAATCCATACAGAGCGACTGGCAAAGGTTGCAATGCGGCTCGACAGAGGGCGCTGGTACAATTTACTCATCGAAAACTAATTGATACGAGAGGGGAAAGCACGATTGTCTCTTTTGATTAGGCTTTTGTTGCTGGTATTAATTTTTTTGGTGTTGCTTTGTAGTTTTTCCATCGTACATTTTTTCTGCGAAAAATCGGGTAATTGTCAATATCAGACACTCTTGTGGACGGCTAAGAATTTGCTCACCTTATACAAAAGTAACTCTTTCTAGTAACCAGTGCTCTTTTTGGGAAGAATTCCATTTTCGGCCACTTTTCACTCTTTGCAAATACCTATTATTCTCAAAAATTACCGAAAATACGATCCAACATCGATTTTTTGATGATGGCTGTCGTCAATGTACCGAAACTTTGAAACCTTCGAAAAATTGGTGTTTTTCACACATTTTTCTTTTGGTCAGAGATTTCGTATCACTTTGAGTGATTTTGATCGTACGAAATCAGCAGCTTTCAACACTCAATAGCTTCGATCTCAGCCTTCATGCTAAACATCAGTGCAAACAGTTTGTTAGCGGTAGGATTTTGCCTAACTTCAAAACCATTGAAGTTGCCTATTGTAGATGCAACCGAAACGTTATGGCGTATTGCAAAAATTAATGAAACTGGATGTTTTACAAACAATTTCCTTTTGCTGACTGATGATGAAAACCGCCTTTCTTCGAGTTTTCAATTATAAGACGTCTATTAAAGCGATTTTGAGACATGGACTAGTCATCTCCATGCTTAATATGGGCAAAAACTAAAGCTTTATATATGAGGTGCGTCTGAATGCCCCCGAATGATCAAAATAACACCTTAAAAGTTTCCTCTCAAAGCTTTAGACATGTTTGACCCGATTTTCTACCTCTCTCCTGTGTAATTTGAAAATCATACATTTTCAGTAAAATTGAGAGGGTTTGAGCACTCAATAACTGCGATTTCAGTCTTCAGTTGGAGCTTCAGGCCAAACCGTTTGTTCCGCACAGGACTTTGCCGTACACGAACCCTTGATGATGGCTATCGTAGACGCAACCGTAACGTTCAATTTTTAAACTTGATTTTTTAAAATTTACAAGTGATCCCCGTCGGTCAAATTCCCAGTCTCCATTCATTAGGGACGGATTTCGAGAAATCAACGAATCCACCGAATTTAAACGTATATACTGAATCCCACTCACTCACAGTTACTTGCTTCCATTGAAGCAGTTAGAAATCGTAATATTTTTTTCGCCACTAATTCGAATTTCCAACCAAGTCGATAGCGATTTTTCGTATGCGATAGCGTATGAAAGACAATAGCAGCCGAAGTGCTCCAATTAAACACCGCTATTGGGCACACTAAGTACGTGCAGGCTGAAAAGCGGCGAGATGAGTAGTAAAAAGTGCAAATCGTCACCAGCAGGAGATACGTAGCTTTAATGCAAGCCATTTCCCCTTCGAGTACATTTCTCCAATTGCTATTATTATCCCATCGCATCTTTCGGGAGAAGTTAACGCAAGAACACGCCAATTTTAACGCTCGACGTGGAGAATACACAAGATACGTCGGCTGGGGAATAATGGAGCGACGGAAAATAGGCCTGCCTTAGTGGAGAGGCCTATTAGGCATATGACCGGCCGGTTGAAAACTTGGTTGTACACATATATTTTTTTGAATTCGCATTAATCAAAACGTAGCAAATCCGATAAAAATCAGACTCGGGCTTGACAGGGGGGGTCAAGTTTCCCGCGCGCCCCAACACGTGACTCCACGTAGGGGGGCCCGGATTGCGGCACGTGTCAGAACCACTCGGGCACGACACCGGAGGCCGATTCGCATTAATATTTTGCACTTATTTCACTCGAGTGGCCGGCTTTGTTACTTTATTAACATGCGACCTGCGCTGGTGTCCATTAAACAGGACCGAACTGAACTGCTAGCAAACCGTTTCCATATCGATTAGAAAGTACAACTATGGGCCGGAAAGCCTCGAGCCATCCAAACATGCAAACAATTTCCATTTACAACCCGTCAATTGAAACTTGGTGGGTGGTTGCCCTATTGAAAATTTACTGTTTAGGGTAGAGTGCGGCCCTGGAAACTCATCATTAGTGTTGTGATTGGGCCCTAATAAAAGGGAAAGCTGCACACTTTATTGCCATGAAAGTCCCTTTAAAACCCCATGGACTGGAAGCGATTCGTGAGACAATATTTTGACCTTTTGTGCACAAAGATTATAAATCCTGTTAAGTGTGCTTAACCATTAGTTATAGTACATAGTGACGAGGTCTTCCCAATCCAGCCAATTTCCGGGATTGGAATCACTTGAATTGAGAGTTTGTCTAGGACGGAATCTACGGCCTGTAGCTGCCCATCTAATGCTCTCGCACTTACCTCTAAAAGACTCCACTCAAGATAAAGAGATCATGGCAACACGAAAGGGGTGCAAGCGAGACAAACGCCTCACTAATCAGAGACTATTCATTAGTCTCTTTGAATTAAGTGACGCCTCTAGCGGCTTGCTCGTGAAGCGACTTACAATTGCGGCGCGGTTTTAACTGCCTTTGTGCTTTCGATTTCGGCATTTAAGCGATCGCGAATATTTCAACTAATCTCTCACTGTTCAACCACGCAAACCATTAAAACAATACGCAGAGAGGATGTTGTGGTTAACATGGATTATGCAAACTCATGTGTTAATGGACTCACCTGGTTTTAGATGATGAGACAGGACCATCGCATTTGCTTTCCTGGAAAAAAACAAACGAATTAATCAAGTTTTTTCACTCTGTATATGTGGGTCACCCTATATAGAAATTAAAAATTAGTTGCGCTAAAGTGAACCGATGGTGCAAATGGGCTGAATGTGGAATAGGCGCCCAAATACAACAGTGTTTCCATGGCGACGTAAACAAATCATAACGCCTGGACTCTTGGGACAAATTATTTTGCACCAACGATGCTCGTTTTGCATGAGCAGTGACTCAGGAAATCAACAAAGCATGCGAGTTTAGCGGAAGTTAAGCTTCAACATCGCAAAGTTTAGACTGAATAAGCATCGGAGCCGTTATATTGCAAATAACTGAAAAACTGAACTTGAACAGATATTGGGGGTTGTTCGCACATCGCGACCTTTTTCTTACCCCAAAAAAAAACCGCCAATTGAGGAATGATGAGAAATCAAGTTTTGACAAGGTTGTAAATCGGGGCTATTTTATTCAATAGAGGAATGTTCCATTGTTGTAAAATGGGCGCCAATAAAATCTGGAATTAGTCATCGATGTGGTGTCGATAAAAAGGCGAAAATGAAAGGCCCGGCCGTTTTGTGTATTCTGTCCGGACTCCGGTGGGAAACGTCCGCTCCGGGTGAAATTGGCCGCCGCTCCGGGAGGAAATGTTCCGGAGACAGCGGCATCCGCTGCTGCGCCGCCCCGCTTCCGACACTCAGCCACTTTGCGCCAACACCGATTGTTTATTTAATTTTACATGTGCCGCATTTTGCCAGCCCCCCGAAAACTCTTTCGCTGCCCATCTGGATGTTGTTCCTCCGACCTGGCACAACAAATCAAACGACCGCCTAATCAAATTTCCACTGTCGTATTAGCGGCAATGCCGCAAAACGTCAAGGGGAGAACCGCGTTATTTCCTGCTAAGAGTTGGAGTTCTCCGACTTTGCACTTTTTACTCTCGCTGGCTCTAACTTCATTGGCGTTCTTCAACTGAAGCACCAAGATATCGGTGGGATTAATTGGTGCCAGAGGAAAAAACCGTTTAAGGGCGCAAAAACCATCCTGTTCAACAGGGTTATATTTTGTACAATTGGTTTTCGGCACGCAAGTTTAGCAACATCAGATGGGTTAGATTAGATTA